TTAGGAAGATTAGACCCTTCCAATCAGAGCAGGCCACACAACTCCTTGTCCAAGCTCTTGTTCTCTCCAGACTGAACTATTGTTATGCTCTCTTGCTCCCTTGGCGGGTCTTCCGGCACGTACTATCCAGCCTCTGCAACTGATCCAGAACGCAGCAGCGAGAGTGGTCTTCAACGAGTGTAGAAGATTTTAATTAATCAAAATGTAAATTGTTGATGTATTATCGGTGTGAATGTGGCCATTTATTTATTAAGTTATTCTACTATTATAATCATGTGTATTTGCCTGCATGTATAGAAATCTGTATGAGAATGGAATGTGCAGACATATGGCGAAGTACATGATAAGCACATGATGGCAGATAATGGGGCCCTTTTTTTCAGAGAACATAAAATTAAGGCCTCATGACTGCATAGTGATGATCCCATAACAAATATGAATGAAACCATTAAACACGCCTAGAGAACGAACAGTATATAAGAGAGTACAGAAAAAGAGTCTAGAGATTGCTCTGCAGAGTTCTCTCAGGTTTTAGAGATTGCTCTAAAGATTTCTCTCAGGTTTTATTGTCTCTGAAAATAAAACCTCTTCTGGCATCAAAACTCCAAGATTCTGAGAAAGATTCTTCACAATAGCGGCAGAAGCCACCACATATTGGCGACCCAGATGGGACTTGGAAAGGAGCAGAGGGTGGAGAACCACTTTGGGCTGGCGTGACGAACAACACTAATAGTGGCCACTAAACAATAAGGTAGGCAGTTTTTTGCTTATATAATTAGTGTTGTTTGCCACAGTCGGCCAGTGGTGGTGTAGACACTCGAAAGCGCTCCTCCAAATTTAAAGAACAAAAAGAAAAAGGGTTTTGATTCCAGAAGAAATAATTGCGTGCACTGATCTGTTTTACTATAATAGTAAATGAGGGCAGATTGTGCATGCAAAAATCTGTGTTTACTGCCCAGAGGGCCTTGATGGATGGCAGTAGACATTAAGCAGATATACTTTGCATGCAGTGGTCTGTGTTTATTGTTAAGTGGGCCTTTGAAGGAAAGCAATAAACATTAAGCAGATAAATTATAAGGAAGCGCGCAAAGTCCTAAGGATAGGCAAAAATTCCTGCAGGGTACTGTTTTTTTACTGTGTTGAGGAAGTGTATCGGTGAAAGAGCGAGTAGAACTGACAGGTTACCCAGGAAGAGTATAGAGTAGTCTGTGTAAATGTATATATCTGTGTCTGTCTGGACATAGCTGGAGTTGTGCTGGAGAAGAGTGAATGAGTCTGTGAGCCCTAAACAATAAAGAGACTTGTATGAATGTTGTTTTAGAAAAAAAAGTATGCCAAGATATGGACTTTGCAGATTATTGAAATAATAATAGATTCATTGAAATAAGATATACATTTAATATTTAAAGACTTGTCTAAACAGATTAATAAAAAGATTGCACGTGCTTAAAACGTTATATTTAATAACTGAAGACTTCTAAAATTTGTATCTTGTTATCCCTGGGACACAGTATGAAAGTTAATCCACTACAGAGCTTCAGAGATTTAGACTTGAGTTAACTAAAAGATAACTTTTGTAGTGCAATGTTGAATAAGAGCAAATTTGGGTGACTAAGTTCATATAAATTTTGATTCAAAAGCTATTTTACAATAATAATGGAACTTGTTGATTAAATATTTAAATATAAAATAATAGGAATTATTTTATGTTGGTTGGGAAAAATTAATTCACTATTACCAGATTATTCTGAATTATGTATGCAAAAATAGAAGAAAGATTATGATTGAAGTCTTTAGTTTACCATACGCATGTCATGCTGTTGTAAAAGGAAGGGTTATTTTGTTTTAATGCAGTATACTTAGATAATAAAGGTAGATTACTGCTGCTTTCTGCATTTTGCAAAGAAAAAACTGCTTGCTATTTTTCTGCAATGAAGAACTTGCTTTACTAAAATAGAATAAGGGAACTGCTGTTTTTAACCAGATTAGATTGTTTTTATTAAGGGACCATTGAAAGAGATAGTTGAAAAGTGAAAATTAGATAAAGAGCAGATTGCTCAGACACAATTTGGTCAGAGTTTACAAAGGTTCAATTTGATTAATGCAGTCTCTGAGTGTTCAAATTTCAGATGACTTCTGGAACAGTGCTTTGACAAAGGGAAGCAATGAACTGGAGTCTGTCTAACAAAGTGGTGAAGTAGCAAGGAGAGAAGAAGAGGGAGGGGTTGATGGACACTCCCCTCCCCTCCTGAAAGAGAAGTTTAGACTTCAGCATGGAGAAAGACTGACTTAATGCAGGAAAGGGTGAATCTTTCACTTGAGACTTTTCCTGAGGGTGAAGAGGACATCCTGAAATGCAAAACTCTGGCAGGAGCAATCAAAAGCCAGACTGGAGGAGAGGCAGAGAAACAACGGAGACCATACACCACAACATCAGGCCTTTGAGTGCCATCACAGACTGATGACCCAGTGCAACAGCCAAACAGCTGCAACAGACTGATGATCTAACCAGAAGGACTTCCATCCCTTCCCATTGTGTGCACAGGTGCTGCATATATAATGATCACTCACTATAGAGACTGCTTCATATTTTGTTAATTATTTTATTAACTATATTAATCTTGATTATCCACTGGTCTCACAGCAGTTCTTTGAATTGTGTTTTAACTAACATTCTCAATCTGCTTTTCAATAGGTACCAGTCCAGCCGTATGTCTTAAAGAAAAAGTAATTATGACAGACAGAAGTGAGTGCTTGACTCACCAATCAGATAAAAATGGAGCTGGATTTTGCATAGTGAAGGCTATTTTCATTAACCAACAAGGGGGAAATGCACAACTGAATTATTGACAACAATGCTGAACTCTTTGGGGAAAAAGAAAAAAAAAAGGGTAGACAAAATGTCTAATAGAAAAAAATATGGCTGATAAAATAAAAAATATTGGTCACTCCATTTTGTTTAATGTTAATTTTCTAGGGCTAGATTGCATAACATAACAATAAAAAATTTACTCCAAAGGTCCAAAAACATGAAATCACATATGCTGTCATCACTGGGGATAACAAGATGGAAATGTTGATGGCCATGGATCCTAGATTATGCAGAGATCTCCAATCCTCTTCTCAAAGTAGCTCATGAGCAATAACAAAAAAGTATTTGTCTTAAATCTAAATTAGACAAACAAGTGACATTTGAGAAATTATAATTGGCTCTCTCAAGTGCACAATGCCTAGGCCTATTATTCTAAATGAATTAATCTATTAGATTTTGATGAAAAAAAAAAAGAAAGAAAAAAAGAGGTTTATACAGCGGTGTTAAACTAAACTTTATGGTGACTGACGTTGCCTGGTTGCATGACATCTAGAAACTATGTGGAATGCTACCAGGTCTATGCTCAGTAGAGTCTAACGAAAGAAAAAATAAATAAATCATGCTACTCAGAATTCGTGGCATTCACAACTAAAATCATTTAGTTCACAATCAGCTGAAAACTCAAGAAAAAATATGTTTTTGGCAAAAAGGGGGATGTTAAAGGGTGTGAAAAAGCATGAATGATGGTGTTGTGTGGAGTGAAAGAGAGTGTGTCTGACGAGAAAATAAGGCAAATCAATCATTTTGCCAAAACAGCTGTAAGCAAATGTTAATATGTGGGCCCACAGGGCAAATTATGTCTAGTAAAATAATCACCATGGATGAATTTGGTTAGGTTTCCTGGTCAGTAACTAGGTTATTGTTGTGGCAGAAAGAAAAGCAGTGCCACACTTGCGCAGCGTATAACATGGGAAGGCAGAGCAAAGCAAGCTTGCTCTGTCCACCCCACATCTAACTTTCTTTTCAGCATATCATGATGGAGCTGATTCTGTGTCAAAAGAATAAAATATTGTCTTTCTGACTGTTAACATAAAAAAGTGGGTTGAGTGTTTTCCAGGTCAAAAGGCCTATGCTACTGAGTAAGATAGGCCTAAAAATTATCAAGTGATATAGTGGAACTCAGTTTATAAAACAAAGAGATAACTGAATTAGCAAATTGTTAAGAATAAATTTGAAATGAACTGAAAAATAGTAAGGATGCAGATAACTGAGTAAAACCAAATTCTTTATTATAATATAGAAAATGGGTATTAACCCTATACTCATTGTATTGCCAGCACTGGATTTGTGAGAGCTCAAAAAAGGGGCCAGGACAGCCCTCAACCCACATGAAATTTCCACAGGTCACACCAAGAAGGATGACTGGCCAGATGAGCAAATGAGCATGCTTGATATCACTAACAGAAAACTCTGAAGGTTTCTATTTACAGGTGACAGCAGTTCTATAAAGGAAAAGGAATGGTTTGCTCCATCAATAAGAACCACTTCAACAACTCCACACAGCATGAAGTGAGGGATGAAGGGCGTGCTAGTAACGACCCTCCCTTGCCAACGAGGTAAAAGACCATTGCAACAACTCGCAAAGAGTCACCCTGGTGAAGATGGAATGAGTGGTGGGACTGCTAACGAGATGATCAAAATACTTGGGAACAGATGTGGGCCAACAAATGGAAAAGAGGAAGTGGAAAGAGAAGGAAACAGACAAGCAGACAACTCAGGAGAAAGTGACGTAGAGAGACTAGAGACGCAAGATGAAGTGCAAACTGATGACAACTCAAAAAGAGATAAGCAAGAAGCTCACATTCTTTTGTCAGAGAAGCAGAAAAGTTAAAAGATATCTGATGATCATCACATGCATCTAATTCTACAAGCTCAAGCTGTAGCCAACAGCACCCAGACTTCCCTACAATCAGCTTTCACCCCCTCAGTTGAATCTAGCAGTAGCTTTGACTTAATCCAAAAAGAACAAGAACTAGATAAGGAGGAAAAAGTATCTAGACAAAATAGACACATTGTAAATGACAACCATAATATCAGTTATAAGAAAATTGGCAATTCAATTTTTTTATGGGAAAAGGTAGAAGAAAATAATTGATATAAATGGGTAAATTACACAGCAGAAAAAGAAAAGTGGGAAAACTGCATAGTTTGCTTTGAAGCAACAGCAGTCTTATATATTGTACCAATACTCATATACAGTTCAAGTTGTAGAATATTTCATGATGAATGGTTTAAGTTGAGGGTTCTCAAACTGTTCCATTCCACGACCCACCTGAACAAGTATAATATTTCACGACCCACCAAAATATTTGAGATTAAAAAAAAAACAATTGACATTACTGTAAGCTTAAACTTAACAAAAAGTTTAATATGCCAGAAATTAAGTATTTAAGAAAAATAACCATTTTATTTTATAGTATTATTCACTAATAATATTTATGTTTTAATTTTTTCATTTACAGATGTTAAAAAAGTCTATGAAATATGTCCATGAAATATGTCAATTTTTATTTAGCAAAGCATAAGATGCAAAGCAGAACTATCTAAAACAGTTTGGAGATTAAAATAATTGTAAAATAATTGTAAAAAATAATAAACAGATGTGTCTCATTTTAAATAGGCCTAAACAAACCAAGACGATAAATTAATTTCAGCCAGAAATTTACTGTTGCAATGATTAAACAAATGTCCAGGACTATCTAGTGAAATGGGATTAGATGTAATAAAACTGGGAGGTAAATGCTTAATAGAAGAATAGAAGAGGTAGAGAGATAAATGTCTTTAGAAACTGTACCCAAAAAATGGCATTATGCTCATACTGGTGCCAGTTTCTCCAATCTACAACAAACTACAGAGAAGCAACTGAATTACTGTGCATCCGAACCCGTAATTGGTCAATAGTATGGTAATAAAATAAATAAAATTTATGATAGATCAAGAAGTGAATGTTATAAGAAGACGGGAAATATTGACATTGGCAAATTAAAGGAAATGCAGCAAAATATTGAAAATACCATAATGTAAAGTTAGTTAGTGAAAAAGGAAGGCCCACCTCCTATATTTGATGAAATCAATATTGCATTGGCAGACATACGGTGGATGTGTGGAAAAATATGGCCTCTTGCCAACATTACCAGAAAATTGGTCAGGATTACTAGGGTTATGCTGACACATAAAATGAGTCATATCTCTCTAGAAGAGGAAACAACAAATGAAGAAAAAACTAAAACCAAAAGAGCAGATGAAAAAGACCATGCAGATAATATAAATCCAATTGTTCAACCTAAAGGCATACCTAATGAATTTAATACAAGAGATGCAATTAAATTAGGGTTTGAATCAATATTAATTCTAAAATACAACAACAATAATAATAAATAAATAAATAAATAAATAAATATAATTACAGAAGGGATTAATTAAATTACATAAAGTACAATCAGCAAAGATTTATTAATTACACCGATGAGGCCTTATCACTTCTAGGAGAGCAATTGGACGCAACAAGCAGAATGACAGAGCAAAATAGAATAGCTTTATATTATTTGTTAACTGAAAAAAGGAAAAGAATAGCTTTATATTATTTGTTAACTGAAAAAGGAAAAGTATGTATTATGTTTGGGGAACAATGCTGTACTTATATACCAAATAATACTGCTCCAGAAGGAGCATTTAGTGAAGTAATGATCAAATTAAAAAACCTAAGAATGGAAGATAAAGCAAATGCTGGAAAAGATAATCAAATGTGAGATTGGTTTGATCTATAGTTAGGAGCAGAGTTAGCAAAATTGGGAATGTTTTTAGGAATTGCCGTATTGATAGGAAGATAACTATTTTACTGTGTACTTCCTGTTTCAAGGTCACTAGTTATCAAAGCCACAACTAAGCAAATTAATATGATGGGAAATTGATTTTTGAGGGTAACCAAAATGGCCCTCTACAATGCACAAAGTGTCTGGGCTGAAGATCAACTATGCTATTTTTTGTGATGTTACATGTTTTATGTCTTTAATTTTTATTTCTGTTGTATACTACATAACTGTGACAACCACAGGCAAGCGCTGAACCAATTGCACGCTCATGCTTATCACATTGTTTTATCTTAAATGAGGGATTAGGGAGACGGATCTTTTACTCCCTCCTAGTCAAGGGTGGGGGGAGAGGTTTGGTCCTGCTGCTCCGCCAGAGTGCTGT